TAAGCCGTCTGCCTAATAGAGGCTAAATGTGATGTATTCACTCCTGTTTCTGGGGATATTACGTGGTAAGGTCCTGATGTATTTCACGGTGCGCCTCTTGTAATACTGATAAAAAGCAACAAGAATGATCTTTTTCTCAACTGCCTGCAGTAAAAATCCAACACTGACACATGGAGGATTGCAAATCACATACATTATTGAATCATAAAATATATTACATAGGCACACATGTGTAATGGAAGATGAATGTCCCTGCTGAAATGCCATGTGGGTTCTGGGTCCTCATTGTGGCCCTTAGGGATCTGAAAGTCGTAATTTTGGATCCTGAGGGTACCAGACAAAAAAAAAAATGACCTTGGCTCTCAGGTCGACCCAGCATTGAATGGGTACTGGGTACCAAGTGGAGTCCTGGGAAGTAAAGGAGGCCAGCGTAATGCTGATATCACCCACCAAGTGCTGATTGCTCTATAAAATAAATGTTTTATGCCAAATGTGCCTGGGCGTGGAAAGGGTCCTATACGTTTTTACCATCAGAGTCCGGGTGCATCTGCCTGATAGACAAGGAGCCAAGTCGGAATGCAAAAAAAGATAGATCTTTAAAATGGATGTGCACGCCAAAATTCCGGTTCTGGAACAAGATCAAAGTCCAGAAGTGGACAAACAACCAGAACTGTCCACTGAAGCCTCTTCATCCCTTGCCATTTTCCCTGCTCCGCATGTTTTCATGTCCAAGGTGTCTCCGTCATCCTGCATCCATGCAAGTGCTGGTCGCTCTCGTGCCTCTTCTTCAAGGAATAGACTTTCTGTTACTGTTATTTCTCAAACACTGTGTTACTCAACATGGAAGAAGTTTTTGACATAAGGCTGACTATCTCTTCCTGTCTAAAGCAATGCACCCTGTGTGTTCAGCTTGTGTCTATGTGCAGCAATGCAACAGATGGTGTTTTATTGTTTTATTTTATGTTTGGTTTGCGTATGCAAACGAAACCTGGCCAAATATTTTGAATGCAGCTCAGTATATGCTGTATCTTTGACAGTCACATACTGCTGTCTTTTTCACTGTGACTGCTGTGTCAAATTAGGTTTCTAATTTGAAACTATCTGGGATAGAAAGAATTAATGAACCAGTCTTCTTTGATGTTCACATTTTGTCAAATGTCAGTACAGTGAACCCTTAGGATACAAGTGTACCTAGATACAAGTTTGTCAGCATGCCAGGTCAGGCTTACCAATTTATTTAACCTCAGAATATGTGCTAGTGCTTCCATTGATATACCTAAACGAACTTAAGGGGTCAAGGGTTATGCTATGTATTTATACATGTATGTGCAATAGGAAATCCAGGTCTTGAGCTGGAGAGATGAGAGCTTTCAGAGTTGCCTGACATCATCTCGACAACTTTTAAATGGATTAGGTCACATTAATATTTCTGAAGGATTTTAAGCCAGTTAGCAAGGCACCTGATGATGATAATGATGATGATGGACTGCAGCAACATCGTCAGAAGTAACCCCATTTTTCCACTGCTAAGGGGGAAAAAAATACCCCAGTGCTATACATTTTCCCCGTTAAATAAACTAAAAAATGTCATTCTAAAGCTAATAGGGTGGTTTTTGGAGGGCTGGTAATGTCACTCTAAAGCTAATAGGGTGGTTTTTGGAGGGCTGGAATTGATTACAATTATTTACCTTAATTTTAATTGAAAAATTAGTTTCAGGATATGATTTATTCACCCTAAGAGCTCAGTCATGGAATGAATTAAACTTATATCCTGAGGCTCCACTGTGTTTTCTTTTTCTTGATCCACAGTAATCTAAAAACTTGTTTGCAACATTTTTGTTAAAAAGTGTTGATTTACTTCTTTGGTGATTGCAAAACAGACAGTGGCCCACATATATTATATACACAAATCATATACACTGTTAAAACACAAAATAATTTGGAAAGGCATACCAGTGTGATGAAAGAATGTCACAGCCAAAACAGCAAAAAAAAAAAAAAAAAAATATATATAACATTGTAGCAGTGTTTCTGTGTGGTTATTTTGAAGAAAAAAGACAAAGACAACAGACTGAACAATTTACTGTCTGGCATATCAAGAACACAGAAGATCAGAAATGATGAGATCTGAAAGTAAGAGTAGCAGCAGAGCTAGATTCTATTATAAAACCACAACTGAATTTGTTCGGTCATTCAACTGAGCTGCAAACAGACCATGTATCACAAGCAGCAAATTTATTGTTCTCGGAGCCATGAAAACCACCCCCATCAGAGAGATAGAAAGGATAGCAGATACTGAACCACTGGAACTCAGAAGACAATACAAAACTCTTTTACAGTATGAGAAATTAAAAAGACTTCAAAGTCACACACTACATTTTAAATTTCAAGAGAGAACAAAAAACAGACTGAAGTGTCAGAGCTCCAACCACCTTGCTAGAGAACTGTACAGACAGCACCAAGATCTGCTTGAAAGAGATGCTGCACTGTGCGAAAAACTTAGGCCAGAACCATGGACAAGCAAGCCAGAGAAAGCAAATGTAGTCCTAAGGGAACCAGGAATCACTTCAAAAGATGCCCAGACGGAAACACAACAGAGAACCCTGGTCTTGCTATGCTTGATGAGAAGTATCCAAACACCACTTGGACTCAGGTTTTCACCGACAGCTCTGCTACAGATGCAGTCAGAAAGGGGGTGGTTGTGGAATTTACATTAAACCCTCTAGCAGAGAGCAGAAACTCTCTCTCTACCAGCAGGTGACATCTGCACTAACTTCAGAGCTGAGGCAACTGCCCTCCTCTCTGCAGTCCAACATCTCATCACTCAAGAACACAGAGGGCACAAAATTGTTAAACTTAGTGACTCATTGTCTGTTCTCCAAGCACTATCCAGCAAAAATCAAGACAAACTAATTGCAGATCTAAGGACCAACATTGGCTTACTCTCCAAGGAAGCAGAGCTGGTCTTGCAGTGGATACCAGCCCACTGTGGTATTCAAGGAAATGAGAGAGTAGATGAGTTGGCAAAAGCTGGGAGTAATCTTCCAAAACCTCATGCACCACACAGCTACAAGGAAACCAAAACAGCGCTAAAGCAGTCTTTCAAGCGGGAGTGGAGAAAGCAGAATAGAGATTACAGACCAGAGAGTGACAGCATAAACAAACTCAACAAACATCAATTTTTAGACTTCGGACTGGACACTGTGGTCTTCGAGCACACTTGTACAGGATAGGCATAAAAGAATCTGCTGCCTGTGATTGTGGAGCAGAAGGACAGACCCCTGAGCACATACTGCAGTACTGCCCTTACCTCTCCCAGCAAAGACTGTGGATCTGGCCCAAGGGAGCCACATTGCATGAGAAGCTATGGGGGACCGGTGGCGACCTTAAACGCACAATCCTATTTGTTACCCATACGGGACTCAATGGTTAGCATGACTGATGTCAAACGCAGAAGAAGAAGAACAAGCAGCAATGATGTACAGACCAAGTGGGACTCAAAAGAGAAGCCAACCTTGCAAACGGGTGACTCAGGGAATAACTGATGTATAAACCACACAAAGAGGCAGTCTCTCGCAGTGTAAGCTTCGTCTTCATACCGCAAGAGGATTCATCTTCTTTTTCTTCTACACGCTCCCTGGCTGTAAACTCTAGGGGAAAGTTCTGGTTGTTCGACCACTTCTGGACTCCATTTTACATATCTGTGGTGTTGACAATAATATCTATCGCTCTCCCTCTCAGGTGCTTTCAATTTTCCTCTTTTTCACTTCCTTCATTAGCTCACTGAAGTGATGGGGAGATATAAGGATCTTCTGTCTGCACTGTACAAGTTGGTCTAAATTACTTAAAATCTGTTATTGATGCCATCGTTCCATATTCTGCGTGGTTTCCTCTTGCTCTGTATTCATTGTATTTCTCCAGTGGAAGCTGGTACTAGGGCATTCTTGTCATATAGTAAAACCATCACATCTGTTGCTTTCCCGTGTGGATTCCAGGGCCCTATTATAGGGAAAACAAGAATAGACCCACTGCCTACCCAAAAGCATATCATAAGAGTCGACTAATTTGGAGCTTCCTTCGAAGTCAGAGAGCATCTGCCTGAGAGGCAAGGAACCAGCAGTCTGCATACTAATGAGTCAGATTTGTAAAACGGATGCACACGCAACACTCAGGTTCTGGACCAGGACTGCAGTCCAAAAGTGGATAAACAACCAGAACTTTCCGCCAGAGTTTACAGCTGGTGAAAATGAAGAAGAAGAAGATCTTCATGGCTGGTTTCAGTCCTAGCCTTCTTTGAACGCCTTAATGTGTAATGTCTTTTCTGGTTACTCGAGCAGTTTTTCTAAGATATCTCATCTCTCTTGTTATCTTCTTCTTCTTCGCGTTCACCAGCTGTAAACTCCAGTAGAAAGTTTTGTTTGTCTGTCCACCTCTAGACATCAGTTTTGTTCCAGAACCTAAGTGTTGCATGTACATCTGTTTGACAGATCTGCCTCTCAGGCAGATGTACTTCGACTTCGAGGAAATGTTCTTCTTCTGATGTTAGCTATTACTTCCAGGGCAGTAAAGTTCATACTAGAGACAACATTGCCGATATAGATAATTAATTTCAAGCGAACAAAAGAAGAAGAAGAACTTCCATGGCCCCATTTTGGGAGGGAAAAAAAGGAGTATACCAAGTGTAACTTAACAAGCATACACGACAAATTAAGGGTTGGTTGAAATTTGCTGCCTTGGCCTGAATGTGCAGATTTCACAGCCTGCCTGTTAACTACAAACATAACATGCCAACTTCCCCTTTAAAGGCAAACACAGAAGAAGAAGAAGAAGTATGCATCTGAAAAGATACAGTGCAACATGCCACATAATGAAGCTGTGTTTGTGTCTTTTTTGTTCAAATAAAAATTAAAAATAAAAAGACGAAAAAAAAAAAAAAAAAGAAATGCCTGCAGCCATACTAGATCACAATCACAAGAAAAATGTGGGTGGAAGTCACAGAACTATATCTCAACAGATTCTTGTACAATATATCTATTCCGCAAGGACAACTCCCCTCCTCCATCCTTGATCTCCCTCTGGCTTGGAATATCCTGATCCTTAATAGTATTTACCTGACCTTTGACACCACAATCATCCGATTCACTTTGGGAATCTTCTGCTTGCAAGAGTACATGCTTGTTGTTATTGTTTTCCGAGACTGGACTTGTCCATGCATATTTTCGAATTGCATAGCGGACAATATTGATGAAAAATACCCAGCTTATAATATAAATGCTTGTTCCACCCAGCCGGCCCCAGAAATCTGTATCCTGTGGAGAAAAAAAAATAAGTTCAGAAAAATGGTAAATGAAGGAAAAAATAATGGAATTGTTTCTCATCACTGGCAAATTGGGGCACATCGGGCCAGATCCGTATTTTTTTACAGATCAACTGGTACTTGACGGGTGATGTAGTCAACATCATTCTGCCACATTTACTTCCCACAGTGTTTCCATATCTATTTTAGGCTAGGTTAGACTGGCAGGGCACATAATGATGATGATGACAGACTGGGAGTTCTAGGTTAATTACCAAAATTGCCCCAATGCAGATTCAAACCCCAGGCATTCAGATCAGCAGGCAACTTAAAACAAGGGAAATGAAATGCCTAAGACAAATCATGAAGGTAGAATGAAAAGATTTACATGGAAAACTGCACTGAAGATTGCACAGGACAGGAAAGCATGGAAAGTCCTCTCTGAAGCCTCATGTGCCACTAGGCATAATGAGAAATGATGATGATGATGAATGAAAAGATAGAATCAGTTATGATGATATCAGGAAACAATTTGGGATGGAACCAGTGCTTAACTACATCAAGTGACAACAAATCTAATGATTCTGACATGTACAGGGACTATATACACAAGAGAGTGCACCAAAACCAGCTCTGTCACTTACACACAATGGAAGCTAAAGACTGCCCCCACATGCAATGGTTAGATGGAATAGCTGAAGCTACGAATACCAACATCAATGCAGCACGCACTAAGGGCTTGCACCAGATTCTTCTTTAAAACCTGACACTAAGAAGAAGAACAGGACTAACTAAAAGAAGGTAATCATTTAGTCATTTTGCTATTGTCACTCCCAAGACAAGCATTTGAGAGTAATCTATTGCTTACAATGGAACTGTTAAGGTTGAAATGTAGCATGCTGGTTGTCATTTTATTGTAGCAAGTTAGTTTTGTATCCTTTACAGGATGTTGCAGAACCAACCCCAGCATTTTTTGGCGGGGTTGGATTCTCTAGGTACATTTTTGTGTTCAGTAGTTTGCTACTGCTTTCTGAACCTGCAGCTCTCAGTACTACTGTCGAAACCAACTCAAGACAGATTGCCACAGCTGGGAATGAACCCGGTACCCCAGGCATTACGAAGGTCGTTCGCAATGCCTAAGCCACTGACACTGACAAAAGTGAGTTTTGTATCCTTTACAGGACGCTGCAGATCCAACCCCTGCATTTGTTAGCTGCATGCATTAGTGAGTGTGTGTATATACTGCTTTCTTTGCCATGCCTGCTATCTGTTAAACATGAATGAGTATCCCCCTGTGGGCTCCAGGTTCCCATTGTGGGGAAAACAAATATAGCCCCACTGCCTCCTCAACAAGCATGTCATAAGAGTCGACTAACTGGGGGTTTCCTTCAAAGTCGGAGTGCATCTGCCTGAGAGGCAAGGAACCAACAGTCTGCATATAAATAAGTCAGATCGGATAAACGGATATGCACACAACACTCAGGTTTTAAAGTCCAGAGGTGGCTAAAACAACCAGAACTTTCCGCCAGAGTTTACAGCCGGTGAACGCGAAGAAGAAGAAGAAGAAGAAGAAGAAGAAGAAGAAGAAGAATGAGTGGCCACAGAGTGAAGACATTTCGAGCCAAATGGGACAAAGCTTGGTGCAATAAAGTCAACGCTCTCACCTTTGAACACTCCTTTGACTAACCAACCACAACAAAGTTAAGGAAGAAAAATAAAAGCCACAAAACAGAAAACACCATACCTGTTGGTAATAAGAATACAGAAGCATCGACCCAAGTCCGATTCTATAAAATCCAAAAGAAAGCATAAATGCCCAGTCAACAAAAGTGCCCAAGAGTGTGTGATAATTGCCAGTTTCTCGAAGGAACCAGCGCAGTTGTAGGAGTGGGTTTGTAATCTCAGCGCCGCCTATGGTTGCCACCAGCTCCGTACCATAGTAGCCAGAGAATAAACACCATGCCAGACCAACGATGCTGACAAAGTGATGAGCCATCATTGCAGGGCCTGCAAAGATGAGAAGGTTTCAGTAAATTTACAGTTACCACTGTATGAAATATCAAATCAGATTTCAAAACTGTTTATATTTTAAACACAGTACTAGAAGTGGTGAAAGCTGTAGCACTGCTGTGGCTTGATGCTTGTCTGTTGGTCTGAAGATTCTAAGTTCAAATCAGCACCAGGATGGATTTGTTAAATAATTGTTCTAGGTGCTGAGATCAATCAAGCCTAAAATGTGTACAAAGAAATTAGCTTAGAAGTGAAGGTAAGTAAAGTAAAGGACCCTTTTCCACTCCTTTAGGCGTATTGGGCATATACGGCTAAACCTATATTTTATAAACCAATCAGCACTTGGTGGGTGATGTGGTCAACATCACGCCAGCCGCCTTTATTTCCCCAGATTGCACCTGGTAACCACTCAAGGCTGGTCGAACTGAGAGTCAAAGTCAGGACCCGAACCTTTGACCTTTTGATTTGCAGGTGAGCGTCTAGCCACTACACCATGGCGACTTCCTGAGAAGTAAAAGTGGTCATCAAATGTTAACTACATCATCCATCAAGTTCTCTTCAAGGTGGCTCGCTGGCTTAGATCAGAAAGAACAAAAAGGTACATGTTCTCCTTACCTTCTGTCTTGAAGTAGAGGCACCAGGTGACATCAAAGAGAAAGTAACCCAAGCACAGACTGATGATTCTGATCTGCATGGAAGAGTTGGGACCTCCTGTAACAGAGGCAGTACGTAGATAATGATTTTTTCGAGAATGATAAAGTGGCGCATGGTTTTTTGAAATTTGTAATGAGCTGGGAAGGGGGAGACAAGATGAGAGAAAGGATGAGAGGATCCGAGAGAGAGGAAGAGCACGACAAAGAGAAAGAGAGGATGAGAGAGGGGTAGAGAGAGGGAGGGAAGGGGGTAGAGAGAGAGAAAGATAGAGACAGTCAGAAAGGGACAGACAGATGGGGAATAGAAAGAAAGAAACTGATAGAGCTAAACAGATAGACCAACAACAAAAAAAAAAGAATTTTATCTGTACATTGTTATGACTGGGTAAGCAGGCTATCTAACATTCTATTCTTACCCCTTTTCCTCACAGATTATTTCAGCCTTTCACCTCCTATCAAGTTCATTTAAAACATACGCATTATAAACACATGGAAATGTACAAGACTAATATTTTAGTAATTAATACTATATAAATGAATGATAAATGTAAAACCATTACAGTAAACAGACAACTGAGTAAGATGGAAACATATTTCAGTCTGGTGCCATCTCCACAATAAGGCTGGCTGCAATGGATCTAAAATAGGCTTTTAATTTTAATAATGGTTGTGCACTGTTCAAATTTTGATGTGTCCCTTTGTGGGTTCCAGGGCCCTATTCTGAGGAAAATGCTGAGTTAAGAATCAACATTACAGCACTCGGGACACTCTCATAAGCGCTCCATCCCCATCTTCAGCAGTAAGGAAAGAGTTCCAATTCCAATGGCACCAGTAACTGTGTGACTGATTATTCTGTCTATAATAATAGACTCACTGCCTCCTAACAAGCGTGTCATCAATGGTAACCGATATGGGGTCTGCTGAAATCAGAAATAATACAGCCTAGCTGAAAACCACAAAACATCATACCAACTGCCCATTTGAGAGCAAAAACAGAAGAAGAAGAAAAGCATTTTAATGTTATCCTCCAACTTGTACCACTGTCTACCCTTTGCTCGCTTGCTTTTAAATTTTTTGCCCATTATTTTTTTTTTTTAATAAGAATGTTTTAATATTGATGAAATATTTCATTTGTCTCTGATCGGCAACTATACTTCACTGCAAGGGCAAATACACAACATGAGAATGGAAACATCAAGATGCAGAGAAAGATCAAGAAAAATATGGACAGATGGAGTTAACAACTTGCTGAAACTTAACAATATCACTAAGCAGCAAGCTAACGAGTGCGCGCTATCCTGTAATAACATCCTTAGCCATGCCTGCCATGCCTAACAGCATTAAGCAGAGGAAAAGAACAGACAGACAGATACTTTATTCACATTATAAAACAATATAGAAACTGACAAAATCTATGCATCAATTACAAATGTATACAATACAGAAATTGATAACAACCCTCAAAACTGCAAACTATACTTCAGCCACAAAATTTAATTCACAGTACAACAATTAATAACATCTGTCAGAACTACAAATATACTTCAATCATAAATGTGTATGTAATCTTCTTCTCCACGTTCACCAGCAGTAAACTCCGACAGAAAGTCCTGGTTGTTCGTGCACTTTTGGTTTTGTTCCAGGACTTGAGTTTTGTGTGCACATCCATGTTTACATATCTGGCTTATTTGAGTGCAGACTATTGGTTTCTTGCTTCTCCAGCAGATGCACTCGGACTTAAAAAAAAACACTGATTAGATCTAGGCTGGCCAGACCCTCAGTAAAGCCACTGCTACTAGGCTGACAGACTGATGTTGACAGGTCATGACCAGCATTAGCCAAGGTCCTGGTAAACCAGCCCTTCTATATCCCATTTATGCAGTTCAAATCCCTAAGGCTTTTTTTCTTTGGGTGGTACGCAGTATCAGCACTCTTTTCAGCTCTACTGTCTTCTTCTTCTGCTTCGCATTCACAGGCTGAAAACTTTGGCGGAAAGCTCTGGTTGTACTTCAACCTCCAGACTTTATTATTTTTGAATGCTGCGTGCATATCCGTTTTACAGAACTGGATTTTTGTATACAGACTGTTGGTTCCTTGTCTTCCAGGCAGATGCAGTCCGACTTCAAATGAAGCCCCAAATTAGTTGACTCTTACGACATGTGTGTTGGGATCAGTGGGTCTATTCTTGTTTTCCCCATATTGGCGTCCGGGAACCACCAGGGGGAAGCGCTACTGTAATAAACACTCTATTGTGAGCACCTTGAATAGACACTTTGCTGTACGTTAGTTGTGTATACTTTACAGGATGTTGCAGGGCCGACTCCAGCATGTTTTGGATGTTGTGATTTTAATTTTCTAGGCAATGTTTACATTCGGTAGTTTGCCACTGCTTTCTCAACAGTCAGCTCTTGGTACCACTGTCAAAACCAACACAAGACAAATCATCTGCAGCTGGGATCGAACCCAACAACCCGGCATTACGAAACGCATTTGCAATGCCTAAGCCACAAACGGCAACTTGTGGTGAGTATCAGCTTCCAGTTTTATACCACAAACAAAAAACAACAAGAACATCAACAACAAAGCCCTGCAAAAGCCAATAGCATCTCTGAGAACTAAAAACTATACCTGCATCTGTAAAGGGCCAAGGGCCAACACGAAAAGTACAGTAGAATGCCAGAAAACTGATGACAAGTGCATGAACTGTCGTAACTATCCGGCAGTGCCACTCGTAACTGCGAACTGAGTTCCACAAGCACAGAATGAAGTACAGTGTAGTCCATAAAAATGTGTAGGCCAACACCTCCAGGAGGTCAAAGTCGTTAACTCTGAACATGATGTTTGAAGTTACACTGCGTTCTCTTCAAGAAACTGTACAGGAAAAAATGAAACACTTATAAGGCAAACAGTTTTTTAAAGTCTACAATTAATTGTAAATTTAAATTAAATTAAAAAAAAGAAAGTACCCAAAAAAACTAAAAGTGAAAAGTTGAAATTTTTTTTTAAATGAATAAATGAATTTAAAACAAACAACAAATTGTCAAGGCATTAGTTAAACAAAAAAATTTAGTTAATTAATTCAAAACAAAAACTAAACTAAACAAAAAGTTTTCAAAAAATCTTAAAAAGTAAAAAAAAAAAATAATTATTATAATTAAATACACACACACAGATAAATAAATATCAAAAGGTATTATTGCAAACAAATTTTTACAAATATAAAAGAATACATTTAAAACAAAGAACTGTAAAGACAAAGTCAACCGGAAAGCAAAATGTGTAATACAGAAGAAAAAAAAACGGTGATAATTTTCTTCCTAAAGTCCACGTTGTGGTAGGGCATCATGGCTTTGTGCCACATGATTTGGCTGGCACCTTTCCATCGTTCCTGGTGACAGTGTTATATTTTGCTATAGGAAGGCAAGGTAAATCACAGCCCATGGCGATGGATGTTCTTCTTCCTCTCTACAGCACAAAGCCTGAGCAGTACTCTAGAGATGATGATGCGTTGTCGATGCAACATGATCTCTTTCTCTATCTACCTTATTTACTCCAAAGAAAATACAACCAATTCATTTTGAACAATGCATGCTGCAGAAGTTGTTGGATCAGAAGAGCAGTACTCTGTATATCTATCAGAGCTTCCTTCCTAGAATGTTGAATGTTAAATCAAGAATTAACATCATAATCATAGCAATCTTGACACTCCCATAAGTGCTCCATTTCCTTCTTCAGCAGCAAGTGAAGAGTTCCAATTCCGATGGTACCACTATCTGACTGTACATCCGTCTTGCCTTTCCCTTGAGTGTTGAGCATCAGCCAGATCCCTTGGTAACCCCTCGCAGTGCCATTCTCCTCAGATCGTAAAGATCTATTTATGCCTCCACACTGTTTACTCGCTCTGAAAGGGCCCTCATAAAATCTAGTTTGTCACACAATTCCCCACCAAGTGGTGCAGAACGTGCCAGTCTATCTGCCTGCTCGTTTCCAAAGGACGCTTACTTCCAGGAATCTCTGAAAAGATGCTGCACGGAGCATGCCAATCTTCAACGTTCTCAACATACTCTGTGAGTTAGTTACAATTACAGCAAGAATGTACAGCTGATTCTTAATCCAGCGGAAGGGAGCAGTGACAGCCTCCACATCCATTCTCAAACTAGACACTGGGAAATGCCAGGCTCTGCTGCACTAAGCAACATCCATTCACTTTTGCTATGAACCCCCATGTCCTTCCTTGACAAACTGCCAAACAAGTCTGCCCTGCATAACATGTTGTTTTCAGGTTGCAGTTCCTCTTGCTAGTACAAGACAGTATATATCTTTCCTATAGACTCCTACGCCTGATGCCGCTGGCATAATGTGGGGTGTCAGGTTTGGAATATGCTGCTGTAAAGCGTACAAGCGTAACAAGATTGGCATCAGACAGGGCACCACAGAGAGCAATGCTATACAGAAACAATGGTAACAGATCCAGAGGCTGACCACGCAGAACATGGACCGCAGAAATATCAGAGACACTGAAAAGCACTGTATACGAAGCAAACAGAAGTACCAGTTCCAGAGATCTCTTCCTGTCCTGATGCAGCGAGGCATTCCAGGAGTAGAGAAGACAAGAACAAGAAGCATATATAGTCAATCAATTTTGATATAGATGTTCTTTCATGCCATTAAGCACACTAAAATCTTCTCTCTTGAACTCACGTCCTCCCACCTTCCATAAACTGTCCTGCTATCCAGAAATACCCCAATTTTTCCTTTCTCATTAAGTACCTTAATAAAGTGACTGTCTTCTTTGTGCACTAATTTCCTTCAAGATATTTTCATTCTGCTTTTAACTTTTATGGTGGTGTCATTCTTCTAAAGAAAAAACAACAACCACATTCATATCTCACTAATCTGCCACCTGACCAGAATTTACTTTGTACAGCAGACAGACAGAGCAATGCTATTCTGATAGGTTCTTAAGGGAGCACTGTAGTGCAATACAAGGCTCTTAATATCTCTTTGACTTTCTTGGTCAAGTCCACCTCATCTTCACATGGTGAACCCTGATCTGCCCAGTAATCCAACTGGGATTTATGTATTTTAACAAAAATATATTTAAATGTAGATAAACAAATGTTTAAAAGGTATTAGTGATCCGTGTAAAATGTTTCATTTTTAAAGGATTTTGTCTGAAAACACCTATGGGTTCACGGACATACAAGGCGCGTTTTTTAAGTAAGTCCCGTTTTGACCGCAGCGACAAACACTAATGGACAACGTTACTGTGCATATGCAGTATGTTTATGTGGTTCATTAGAAGGTGCATGCTAATTTTTTTCACTGCCAAAATCTTGTCTGATACTGCAGGTAGTGATTTATAATGAGCGCAAAAAGTAAAATACTCCTGCCAGCTGTGAGGATCGTGCTGTGATCCTTTTTTCTTAAGCAAAATTTTAAAAAACCCAACAACAGTGCTACGGAAATTCACAGGTAACTCACTGAAGTTTATGTGCCAGATGCTATGACTGTCAGTATGGTTAGGAAATGGTGCCGAATGTTTAAAGAAGGGCAAATATATATCCATGACAAAGATCGTAGCGGTCAGCCGAGTGTGGTGACAGATGATTTGGTCGAAGAAGTGAACCAAAAAATTTAGCATAGTTTCACACTCACTGATTTAGGACATTAAGCAAGAAACCTTAGATTTAAAAAAACTGTGCCATCCAAAACAAAACATGTGGGTTGCGGTCCTCTGGGATTGTGCTTTTGCATGATAATACTCGACCTCATGCCGCAGATGTAACTGTTCAGTTGTTGAAAAATTTTTACTGGGATATTGTTGACCACCCGCCCCACAGCCCTGATCTAGCACCAAGTGTTTACCACCTTTTTATGCACCTAAAGAAGTGGCTGGCATCCCAGTGGTCTGAAATTGATAATGAACTAAAGACAGGCGTTCATGAATGGTTCAAGACACTGGTGGCAGACTTCTATGACACTGGAATTCAGAACCTGGGGCCACGATGCAAAAAATGTGATAAAGGCAAAGGTGACTGTGTTGAGGAATAATATAAATGTGTGGTTCACTTATGGTAGCACTAAATTATTTAAATATATGATGTTTTTTATTTTAATTCTATACCACAACTTACTTAAAAACATGCATCATATTTCAAGTGTTCCTTTGGGTTAAAGGGTTAATGTGGGACAACAGTAATCAAGTGAATTCATGAAGTACTTATTGTGGGACAACACAGATAACAAATGAAACCTAAAATACTCATGACAAAGCACATTAAAGGCCAAACTAAAGAAGCCTATCACAACGTTAAACAAGGAAAGGTTGCAGGTCCTGATAAGACAGCAATGGAACTGATAAAATACCTCTTGAACTTCAGCACTGATTGTTAGATATGTAATGACCTATATAATACTTACAAATCTGCACAGGGTGGATTTTAAAACAATGATCTAGGCTTCCAGGCCCACCCAGCCTAAAATGGGCACCCAGAATCATGTGATGTAAAGGCAGCTGGCTTCATGTTGACCACATTACCCAATTAGTGCCAAACGGTCTATAAAAATATTAGTCTAGCATCATATGCCTGACGTAACAATGGCAAGAAACAGGTCCCTTTACTTCTTCTTCCTCTTCTTACAGTGCATGCAATGTGGCATTGGTAGCCTTCTGTCTGGAGTATTTGCAATCAGCTCTGACACAGACAATCTTCCATGCCATTATGTCAAACTGTTCAACATCTTCACTCTTGGTTTTCCTCTTTTCTCTTTACTCAAACTATTAGACTACATCAATATCTAAAATCAGAACATTCTGACACATATTTTTAGCTCCATACAGAAACTGTTAATATCTACAGAAATAAACAACACGTTAAAGATTATCCGAGTGGGTTCCAGGGCCCCAATGGAAAAGTGAAAAAAAAAAAAGGGGGGGGGGGGGGGGGGGGGGGGCTTAAACTCTGGGGGAAAGTTCTGATGTGTAGTCCATAACTAGATTTTGGAATGATTCCAGAACTTGAGTTTTGCGTGCACATCCATTTTACAGACATGGCATATCTGTAAGCAGACTGTCGGTTGTCTCCCATCTCAGGCAGATGTACTCTATCTTCAAAAGAAACTTCCCTAATTAGTCCTCTTTTATGGCATGCTTGTTAGTGGGAGCAGTGGGTCCATTCTTTTTCCCTACAGAATGGGACCCTGGGATCCACATGGGAGACTTAACTCATTCAGTACTAAACCACTAACCATGCATTTGTCGACTTATACGACACATTATTTTTTTCAACTGCTTAATCTTTTTGCCCCCGTTAAAATCTTCAAAGTTGACCTTTTTCTAAATTTTGTTTTAAAAATTAATGCATGGTTATAATTTTCTGAAACTCTATCCTAAGAAATTAGAGGAAAAGAGAAAAAAATGCAGAAAAAATGCAGAAAAAAATGTGTTCTGATGTGTTGCAAAAACAACAGATGGATTTTTCATATTTAGTCATTATTTTACACAAAGTTGATCTTTTTAACATAAAAGAAAGTAATCAATAAAGATAACATGAAAGAAAGTAATTAATAAATATAAATGGAGCAAACAAACAATAGCTTTTTTTTCACCCCTTAAAAAAAAGCTTCCTTTGTTGACACAGCCAAAGAGAGCAAAGTGATGTAATCCTAAGTTAATGACGATATAAAACTTACCCAAAAATACCCCCAGTTTCATACCAAAGAATACCCCCCCCCCCCCCCCCCAACTTCTCATTTTTTGTGTGGGGTTAATATACTCATTTTAACCACGTCTACACACTATGAATATCAAGAAAAAGATATAAAACCAAACAA